CAGTTTGTCACAGCCCCTCGTTTGTTGTCCTCTTCTCTCTCTCTGCCTACGGTTTACCGGATAGTTCTGTTTGTGACGATATATTCCTTAGTATATATAAAAATCAAAACATTCATGCACACTTCTTAGTGGCCCGGTGCGGGTTTGGTGGTTGGTGAGTCAAGATCTTGACACAACGTTCATGATTGACTAGCCTCTCTGCCCTTTTATGTGCGGGCATCGCCCGCACCACGGGCGCTAAGCTAGTATATATACATGGTTCAACACATAACTATAAACTAAAAGAGCGCATTTTGCAAAACAAACGGTAAAGATCTAAAAATTAAGATAAATATATATATCGTAATATATATATATATACACAAACATATATATATAATTTGACAATATATATATATATATATATTGAATGTATAGATAATATATACATATTTCCTGATGAGTCGGTGAAACTCCGACCACTTCGACAAGTTTGTCACAACCCCTTGTTTGCTATCCTCTTCTCCCTCTCTGCCCATGGTCTATCGGGCAGCTCTGTTTGATGATATACCTCGTTTGTTGTCCTCTTCTCCCTCTCTGTCTGTGGTCCACCAAAACGCAGCTCTGTTTGACGATATAGATATCATCAAACAGAGCTGCCTGGTAGACCGTAGGCAGAGAGGGAGAAGCGGACAACAGAGGGGCTGTGACAAAGCATCAAACAGAGCTGCCCAGTAAACCATAGGCAGAGAGGGAGAAGGGGACAAAAAACAAGAGGTTGTGACAAACTATACATACATGCATATATAAATATATCTCGTCATACAGAGCATCAAACATAGCTGCCCGGTACAACGCAGGCAGAAAGGGAGAAGCACACAACAAACAATAGGCTGTGACAAACTGTTTCGTTGGAGTTTCATATACATATGTATTGTTACAAAACTATTGACTAAGACCATAAGCACGTCACTGCACGTGAAGTAAAATGAAAAATAAGATGAGCAAAGAAAAGAAAAATGAAAGGACAGACAGGCAAAGAGACAGACAAACCAGAATGACACAAAACAATGTCCTCTTATTCTTCGTTTCACTGAATTATGAAGAAAGAATAAAAATCAAAAACAAAAACCCATTAAAATCATTCAGTTTCTCAGTCTTCTTACCACCTCCTCCACCGTCCCTCCAACGTACAAGGCTCGCCGCGTTGATGAACTTAAGAGCTGCCCCCATCCCCGTATGCCATAACGGCCCACTTGCACGCTATGGGAAAGAGGCAGAGTGAAGGAAGAGGTGATAAACACAAGGAAGAGAGGAGCAGAAAGGGAAACCAGCAGGCAGAGGGAGAAAAAAAAACAAAAATAAAAAACATTGACACAAACATCTTCTTTCGAGGAGCAGAAAGAAAAACCAGCAGGCAGAGGGAGAAAAAAAAACAAAAATAAAAAACATTGACACAAACATCTTCTTTCTTTTACTACATTCTTCTTTCTTGCAATTTTCGTGAAGAGTCTACCTCGTTCGCTTTTCAGCGCGCCTGCACTTCCTTCTTCATTTTTCAAGCTCATTTTCCCCCTTTAGATTTTTCTTTTTAGGGTGTTAGGGTGCAGGGTACGAACAAAGGAAAATGACACAAGACTTATATTCTTCTTTTACTGCATTCTTCACTGTTTTGCAATTCTAGTGAAGGGTTTCCCACTTTTGCACATTCTTGTACACTCTTTTCAGCACATACACTCTTTTCAGCGCATACACTCTTTTCAGCGTACAGCCAAATATAACAAAAACAGGGGGAAACAAAACATAAACAAATCCTAGATGACAAGTTCCATATATATATATCATCTCAGAGAGCTGCCCGGTAAACCATAGGCAGAGAGGGAGGACAACAAACAAGGGGCTGTGACAAACTGTTTCGTCGGAGTTTCACCGACTTATCAGAACGACGAATATTATATATGGTTCAACCTCCTGATGAGTACGTGACACTTTACCAACAGTTTGACACAGCCCCTCGTTTGTTGTCCTCTTCTCCCTCTCTGCGGGGGGTTTATAGGGCAGTTCTGTTTGACGATTTATATATACGGCTGGTCAGCACCTACCGGTCGGGGGTCGTCCGCACCCCGCAAAAAATATAATAAAATAAATAAATAAATATATATTTTTCATTTTTGGGTCCAGAACCCCTAAAAAGTAAATAACCCCACC